GAAAATTTGATTACTTCTTTTATTCATCAAATATTTATTGTCAGCTATGTGTGGAGGCACTTGGGATAAACCAGTGCACAAAACAAATTCTTATCCTTGTTGAGCTTACATTCTTGCAATTACATTCTAGCATCCTTCATCGAAAGAATGAAGTTTCCATCAACTTAGATCAGAAGGGTTTGAGTTATTGAAAAAGTAATTTTAGGGCTGAAACTATGAGTTTGGTTTTGAATATCTTTTTTTTTTTTTTTGTACTGGGGATCGAACTCGGACCTCGTGCAGAACCACTGAGCTAAAATCCCCGGCCTGGTTTTGAATATCTTGAGTTTAAGATCTCTATTTAACTTTCACATGGAATACTGAGTGGACTAACTGGAATTAATAAAGATTAAATTTGGGATTCATCAACAAGGAAATATGTAAAAATATAGGACGAGTTGAAAAGGAGTAAAATAAAAAAGATAAAAGCACAGAGACTGAGTCCCCAGCACTCCAACAGTAAGAGGTGATGGAGAAGTAAAGAAACGGAAGCTGAAATCAGAAGAAGAGCATGTTCTAAAGACAGCTGATAAGTTTTGGAAGTAAGGACAAAGAAGAAAATGGAAAACTCCAAATGTTCTAGCTCAGGAAACCAAATGGTTAATGCACAATTTTCCAAAATAAAGAAGAGAAGAAAAGAAAGGCTTAGAGGAGTAGCTAATTCATTTTGAACATGTTTAGGGTGTGACACACGTGAGACATCCAGGTAGAAATGTCAAGAATACAGAAATAAATATGGCCTTCAAACACAGAGGAGATACAAAATTGGTACTCAATGGTACACTCATGCTCTTGACACTGGGGTCTGGATGAGACAACCGGAAGGAAGGCGAGGAAGGGCAAGAGAATCAAAAACACAATCCTGGTAACATTAATACTTACGAGGCAGGTAAAGGATACAGAGTCATCCACAGAAACCAGGTATGATCTGTGAATGAACTTAACAAGATAGCAATTTTCAGGTTAAAGTTCTACCCATCTCTCCCAAGTGACTGTGATATGATCTCCAGTTTCATAGCAACAGCAATAAATATCTTCATCACATGAAGTATCTGCTTTAGAATCAGGCTGCAATCAGACAGGGACGAAGATAGTAACTAAAACTAGACAGGAGACAATGACTCCTGTCTACACTGTAGAATCCTGTCTAAATGGCTACATTTAGGATGTTGAGTCAAGTCAATGTTAACCATAGCCCCCCAATTTCTTGGTTAATATATTATACTGAATAGATTATGTAAATCTTACAAGGCATTCAGAATACAGCAATGGAGTGATCCTTAGGTGAATATCCTCCTCTTATGAAGACAGAGATGGAAAGAATGCAAAATCTCTATCTCTGCTAAGGGCCCCCACCCAGAGGAAGCCAACTTCATGCAAGTGCCCAGGTTTTGGTGTCAAGGGCTGATTCCTAGCCAGAGGTTGCCAGCTGCAGAGGGCGGGGCTCTATTTTGGGCTGCCCGCTGTCCCTCAGCCTAGCCGCGTCTGGTTTGAGCAGCATGCAGCCCCAGTGACTCACACACCCATGCAAACCGCCTGTGGCTCAGTGGCATGGCCTCGGAATGCCAGCCTTAGGCCAGCTCCCTCCTCACCCCATTACACTGGGATAAATAAATAAAGAGCCTGCCAGCAGCCGCACAGCCTGATAGCAACCAGATGGAGAGAGAGAGAGGCCTGGGCAGGGCCAAGGGGAGGAACTCCCTCCAGTGGACTTGACTGAGAGTGGGCTATGCCAGCCCATCATTCCAAACTTCCTTCTTGGCACAGTTCCTACTGCTGTGTCATAGAAGTCCCCAAATCCTGGACTTTTCCACTACTTCTAAGGTGCCTTGCAGCCCCTAGTCCTGGAAAATGCTCTGGAGGGGGACCTTGCCCTGTGTGAGGACCATGCAAAGAGCCAACCTGTCCAGCCTTAAGTTGAATCAACAGTGCCAGTATTCCTCCTCTAGTCAGGCCATTATCAAGTGCCCCTTGGGTTTCTTGGAAATAAAAAATCAGAGGTTCTTAGGGAGAGAAGAAAAAAAAAAAGGCCAAATATAGGGAAAGAACCCCTGTTCAACCCATACATATTTTTCTTAGCCTTAGTATCCTAGAAATCCCTCTCTCCTACTGCCCCTTGTGCCCTATGTCCAGGGCCTCTTGCCTAGCAATATTCCTAATAAGACTGGGAAGAAGTGACCCCAGGCACTGACCAAATGCCCCTCTGACATCGGCCTGGCCTCTCTGCATCTTCGTCCCAAGATCTCTCCTTGGTTTGTTTATCTTCCTATCCCACGTTGTTTATTTTGATGGCACATCCTCTCAGTTCAGTCTTGGGTGACCCCATGACCTTTCTGTGTCCTGTTTGTAGGACCCCAGGCAAGCACAGTAACTGCAAAGCTGCTATAGCCATAAGAAGCTCTACAGCCCTAGTAGGAGAACTTTCAGTTCTAGCAGCTATGCAGGCCATTTCTGAGGACCGTGCAGTGACCCTAGAAGCCACAATAACTCACATTACCCCAACCCTTATGTCTCCCCAGCTGGTATGTACAATCAGCTGAAGCAGTGAAACAAAAAAAGGAATAATTTTAGACTGTAAGTTAAGAAATGTGGAAGGGTTGAGCATAGTGGCACACACCTGTAGGCCCAGAACTCAGGAGGCTGAGGCAGGAGAATTGACACAAGTTCAAGGCTACTTTGGCTACATAGTAAGTTCCGGGCCAGCCTGAACTACACAGCAAGACCCTGTCTATAAATAAATAAATAAATAAATAAATAAATAAATAAATAAATAAATAAAATGTGGGAGGTCCTCAACATCCAGACCTCAGGCAAATCAGTTGACCTCTCAAGATCAATGTCTTCATCTATAAAATGGAAAGCTACACTACCTCTCTCTCAGATTCTTTCCATACGTTATACCATTCTACACTCATACCATAGACCAGAGCTCTTGAAGTAATTCTAAAACACCAACACCCACCCTGGGCTAGCACCTGGACTCTACGTGCCTTCTCATTCCATTCTACTGGGCTCTCCCCTCTCTACAGAATGAAGAGATGAGCCTCCAATTTTACAAATGAGAAAATAGTGCCTCTGAGAGAAGTGATTTGTTCAAAGCTGCAAAATAAACCATGAGAATAAGAGCAGTCCTTAAATACAGCTTTAACAAGCAACAGTTTATCAAGAAGCCACAATACCACAATTTTCACAAAAATCCTCCTGGCACAGATTTATCAAAATATTCATGCACAAACTCATTGAGAGCTTACTACTTCTAAGAACTAAAGTCCGTGCTGGGGCTGCAGCAATGCATTTAACATACTCTTTGCTCTTAAAGAGACTATACATAGGTATAGAAGAAAGCTATGGTCTTGTAGACATATAAACAGTACACCAGTGTATACTGGCAGGAGGATCACAAGTTTAAGTCCAGCCTGGGTAACTTAGTGAGACCCTGTCTCAAAATAAAAAATAGGCCTGGAGAGGTAGCTCAGCCCTTCCTGAGTTCAAACCCCAGGACCTTGCAAAAAAAAGTTTACAAAGTAGATAAGGCTAGGGCCTTGGGCACTCTAGATAAAGAGAAGAATGTATACAAAGACACAAAGGCAAGAGAAAACAGCTTTGGGGAAATTAGAAGTCATTTCAAGTAGCTGAAGCAAAAAGCACACAGGGCAAAATGTCCAGAAGTGAAGCCAGATAGGTAGGAGATGCTAGATCAGCAGAGATAGGTAAGAATTAGCCTACCACTGCTTTAACAAAGGGGCCCAGGAAGGACACTAGTGTGTCAGCCCCACGCTGCCGAGTTACCCTCCCTTAATGCTCAAACTTAGAGACAGGAGAAGCCATGTGAGATAAAAGTGGCCTAGGAAATTTCTGTCACAAATTCTGGTTTAATACTTTCCCTTTCCTCATAAAGACCTGACATCTATTCTGCTTCAGGACTTAACCAATACACTGTTTCCCTCTTCTCCAGAGTTACATCTGCTTCAGTACAAGACAGAGCACTCACCTCACATATTTTGCTCTTAGCAGTAAGACCCCCAACTATTATAGCAATGCAGAGGCAGAAGTTTTCCAAATCAAGAATGCCTACTTTTTGCTTAGCCCTTGAAAAGTGCTAATCTGGGGTACAAAAAAGGTATGAAACACAGACCTTGTCCATAAGAAGCTTAAAATAAACATAGAGGCCAAGACAGAAATAAGAGTAATCTGTGGGGGTGGTGCATGCCCATAATCCCAGCACTCAGGAGGCTGACACAGGAGGATTGCCATGAGTTTGAGGCCAGCCTGGGCTACATAGTGAGTTCAAGGCCAGCCTGAATTAAACAGCAAGACCTTGTCTCAAGAAAATAAAAAATAAAAGAAATACGAATAATCTACACATAACATAATATTATAACAGCATCATTTACTTACATAATAAAGTACCAACTTGGGTAACATGTATAATTAGAAAATGGGGCAATAATACTAAAGTACTAACTACATAACCAACAAGTCCCAGAAGAGTTAGAGAAAGCAAAGATCAATATTGACTGGTATTATCAAAGGTCACTATTATTAATACTCCCACTCTTTGGCTTCAATAGATATTTCTGTTGGCCAAACTCAATCCTTAGAAGGGAAACCTAGGCAGAAGCTTCTGACAGGCCACAATTATCTATTCCCGATTCATTCCTCTGCCAGTCCCCTTGCATAAACACTGTGATTTTCCACAGCCTGCCGTGCCCACAAAATAGTCCCCAAATGGTAGCCCTGAGCTTTTTACCTTCCTCTATGCTGGATGCTGAAGGAACTCTTTCCTTCTTCCTTCCCGTTTTCTTTATGTACATCCCAAGCTTTATCAGATTTTCTATAGGCAGCTTTTTCAAAGGACTTTCCAACCATAAAAGTCATCTAACGCCCAAAATGCAAGCCATCACCCAGGCACTTTGATTGTCAAATTTGTAGAAAGGGAAAGGAAATAATAAATACACTACCTCTACCATAAATTGGTCCAAGAAAGAATTTTCTTCAAATGGCTCAGTCTTCAATCGACCTGTAATAAGAAGGGATAGAGAAGAAATATGAGTCTAAAGATGAGCTTCCTACTTGTGAGATGAAAAGGGGCAGAGCCCAGAATTGCTTGGGGAAGAGAAGAAAGATGCAACATGCAGACAGCCCTAGCCTGGTAGAAGAAAAGCTGAGGGAATGTGGGTAAACAGTAGGAGGAGAGGGTAGTTGGCAACAAATGGCAGGTTCAGGGGCAGGATCTATTGGAAAAGATTTTCCTGCCACAAAGATAAAGGTCAAAAGGAATTTTTAGATTCAAGTTGGAGCTATGCAGCCTCCTAAACTCCCAAGTTCATGTTGCCCAAGTACAGTTTAGTATAGCTGCAGGCCCCTTTCCAAAGTCTTTTCTTGTCATTGGGACACATCTAGACTCGGTTATAGGTTCTACTGGTCACTTGGGCCCCAATCAGGTACTCTAGGCGAGAGAAGAGGCATCTAGTATCTAGTCTCCAGTTCCTGGTCAGCACCCAGCACCCACCCTGGGGGAAGCACTTTTCAAATGTAAATGAGCCTCCAACTTTTCTATCTATTCCATTCCCGACTCAATTGCCCCAAGAATGTCCTCTCACCTCTGCTCAGTGTAGCCCCACTCTCCTGGTAGTCCTGGATCTCTAGATCTTTCATCCGAAGCAATGTTGCTAGTTCCCTCACGTGGCATTGCAATGCCAGACTCATGCCCATCAGAGGACGAATCAAATGTTGGGAGACCTTCAGTGGAGAAGAGATTTCAGTTAGCCAACAGATTCTCACAAAGCACTCCCTAACCCTCCATTAGGTACTAGAAAAAAATACTCAAGAATGAATGTTTTCACAGGAACTTACAGTTTCACAGGCAAGCAATCCATTCTCATGAATATAAATTCAAATGTAATAATTAAGTATTTTAAAGTGGCTCAAAGATTTTCTTTATGATCCGGAGAAAATATGGATAGATAACTTAGAGTTGTTATTTAAAGACAAGGAAGTGATAGAGTTGAGAAGAGGAAAATGTTGGCTCAACTCTCAGCAGAGACTGAGAGATAAAAGCAGACCAATGTAACCTTCAAGAAGGTAGGTATAACTAAACCAGAGTATGTCACCAAGAGTATAACTAAAGGCAGAAGTCAACAGAAAGTAGTTTTGGAAGTCAAATTAGATCCAGACATTTATTAAGAGCCATTTCAGAGCTGATGATAGCCCCAAAAGAGCCCCAAGATCCAATTGTTCCCACAAATGTAGCAGGGTCTATGGTTATTGTTGTAATAGAACCAAGCCGGTTACCAAGAGATAGCCTGGGAAGAAATAAAGCAGCACCCCTATACACACCTTACTATTGCAAACAGTAAGAATACTAGCTGAGCCATACTGCAGAGCAGCTAGGCCAATGCTATCACAGACAATGGATAATCATTTGATTTACCTATGCAATGCATCCATTAGCCTCTCAAAGAAAATATCTAAAATTAACAACCTGTTTATGGTTGGGGATGTTATCAGAGTTCCTTTCCCATCCCCCAAGGAGATGAATGAAAAGAGACACTAAGAAGAAGAAATGCCCTAGATCAGAGTCAGCAAGCTTTCTTCAGATCGAGTCAGAAAGTCAGTATTTTCATCTCTGTGGCCCATACAGTCCCTGCTGCAACTACTCAACTTTGCTCTTGTGGCACACAAAGGCAGCCACAGACAATATGTAAACAAATGAAGTGGCTGTGTTCCAATACAACTTTACAAAAACAGGCAGTGAGCCAGATGTGGCCCACTGGCCATAGTATGCCAACCCCTGCCCTGGATCAAAAAAAGAGCACTTTAGACAAGACACCCTAAGGGGTTTGAAATAAGGGACCAAAATGTCTTGTAAGATGTATAAGCCACACTCATATGGATCAGGATCAGAAGTCTGGACTCTCCAGATCTCATGCTTTCATTTTTTATTAATTTTCTAGATAAAAGTTACCACTAAAACCTTTTCTTGTGCTGTGACTCAAATTATGAGGAAAAGGCTTTTTCCCACATTTCCTTAGAAAGGACTGGATATGAGGAGGTGGGTTGAGAGATGGGGTTAGTGGCAGCAACTTTTGTACCAGCACCAGGACCCAAGAAACACAGGGTGCTGGTAAAAGGCCAAAAGTGGAGTACAGGAGTAGATTCTTGTCACTTCTTTCTGTCACATAGCACATCCCAACCTGGCAGTGTCCTGAGACAGTTCCAAACATTAGGTTCTCAGCACAGACAGGCTGCCAGGAAGGACTGCTTAGAATGTGGCAGAAGCACAGCTTTGGGAAGAGTCACCTGCCAAGCACCTAACCCCCTCTTCTAGCAACTGTTTTGTTAAGTTTGTTCACGGTCAGTGTGGATCAGGATGAAAAACAGGTGAAAACCTATACAACAGCCAGGGAAAGTTTGGCGGGCAGAACCGGAAGTAATTGCCATTGTCAACCAAGTGGCCTCACTACCAATTTAGTACCCTGCAAGTAACAGAAACTCCTAAAATTAATAACCAGCCTCTCTCTTGGGATTGGGAAGTTAAGAGATACCTTAACAACAATTTCTTAGAGTGGTGCTAAATAACATAAAACATGATAAAGAACAGTTTTTAATCAATGCCATGTCTAATAAATATGATAATGCCATGTCAGGCAAAATTGAAATGACTTATTAGATCCCAGTGTCTATATAACCACAAAAAGGTTTTATCAATAAATATCTCATATGAAAAAAAATCTCATATGTTCAAATAATATGATTGGATTGTACTGCTCTGTATTACTGAGATATAATTAATTTCAAAGTTAAATGGATATTAAAATGATTTTCCTTAGACCAGATAGCTTGCTCTATTCTTAGACTTATAGGAATCCTGGATAGAAATACTGAATATATGTGTTAATGGCCACAAGAAAGACTAGTACAGCTGTGTAAACAGATCAAAGCAAATCCACAGACTCTACAAGGAAAAATCTTGAGTGCTTTAGGAAGGTGACAACACTTCCCTTTGTTACATACAGCAAAAGATGAAGCAACGCAGTTCCCAAGCCAATCTGACCAAAACCTACTAGGTGCTTAATGTGTGCTCCAAGACCTCTGTCCTCAAAGAGCTACAACAGTTAGAGGGGTCAGAAACTATTGTGGATTAAAAATCAGACGTTTTGGGCTAGGGGTTTAGCTCAGTGGTTTCGCCGCCTGCTGTGCAAGCACAAGGACCAGAGTTCGATCCCCAGTACAAAAAAAAAAAAAAAATTAGATGTTTTTAGGGCCGGGGATTTAGCTCAATGGTTCTGCCGCCTGCCGAGGTCCTGAGTTCAATCTCTGGTACCAAAGAAAATCAGACGTTTTCATCTTTTCCAAAGGAAACTCAACTTCCCCTAGAATCTTCTTGTTTCCTGTAGAAACATTCACATGTCCTAGGCAGGAGAGAGAATGGCAGCTATCAACCCCCAGATGAATTATATCCATCGACACAGTAAAACACGTAATAGACTGGGATTAAGCACCACATTTTAGTTCTGGCTCTGGCAGCACCTTGATATGAAAAAGGCTTTAACTCAACTACTCTCATGATCCTTTCCTTTTTCAAAAAGCAAAATTAGGGAGCTGGAAGATTACAATTCTACTATAATCATAAAATAATGTTACAAATATTCTTATTTAATCCTTACAAGTCCACAGTAAGGTTGTAAGTGGTAGCACCACTTTACAGGTGAAGCAACTAAATCATAAAACTACCATACTTATTCATGGTAACAGAAGTCTGGAAGTGGTTGTGGGCAGAGCCTGAAGATGGCCCTTCACTTCCTCCCTACTCCCTTTCTCCTCCATAGATTAGAGACTAATATTGTAGACCCTGGATGGCCCATCCCCAGGGGACAGTTACATTGTGTATCCTTCCCTGATCCCTTCCTGCACATGCCCCATCACAAAACAATCATATTACATTCTGCCTAGGCCACATAGGCCAGGTAGCACTATTTGCCCCACCTTCTCTTCCTATTTGCCTTCCACTATAAATAAAAAGGGCATGGTGCTCCAGGCGGCCATTAGCTCCCGACAAGCTATGGTTCCACCTGGCTCCAAACTTCAAGAATAATCATGGTTTCTTCGTTTCTTCTTCATCTCCCACCACTCTCCCCAGCTTCAGACCCTGTGCTATGCGGGTTGTGGCAAGTGGTGGGGTTAATTACAAAGTCAAGTCTGCTGGTTCCAAGCCTGTGATCATTCTACCACCAAGAAATCTTGGGATGTAATTCCTAGATATCAAAAAAACAGCCACAGGAGTGACAAATTTGAAAGTCAAAACATGGAATATCAAAAATTATATTAGATACTAGAAAGAGCAGACAATAGAAAGGAAGAATAGAAGAAAAAAGTCAAGATGGGCTCAGAGTTATAAAGCAGTGGCCCCTCTTCTCTCCCCAGCACTCAGAAGCCTGAGGCAAGAGGATCACAAAAGTTTGAGGCCTGCCTGTGCTACAGTGAGGTCAAGGCTGGCCTGGACTATAGAGTGGAACCCTTGTCTCAAAAACAAGCAAACAAAAAGACAGAGACCTAGAGACCCAAAGTGTTACATATTTCTTAATATCCTGCAGAGACCTAACCATTAAACTCAGAGTGTGAATACATTATATGGCAGAGGCTGCAGGGAAACAGGTTCTTTCCTACGCACTTGTATGGCCAGTAGGAGTGAAGCTGCAAATATCTCTGGAAGACAATTTGATATGAAGTGAATAGATTAAAGATACAAATATTTCTTGCCCTAGATAGAATTTATTCACACATTTACACACAGAAGTGAATATGAGAATATTTAGTGTATAGCACACAAAGAAGTAGAACAATTAAATACATATTAATACAACCATTAAGTAAAATGCCATGTTGCTACTAAAGATATTAAGGTGGGTCTTCTAAATATATTGGTATGAATGATCTCTAAATTCTATAATTAGGCATAAAAGGCAAGGCACTGAGCAGTGGGTACAGCATGATACCATGTGTAAAACTATGTACATATTGATTGTGTGTTTATACCTACAGTTACACATAGACACACACTGTATATAGCTTTTCTTAAAAAGCCATACAAAGCAGGTATCACAGGTTGCTTTAGAGAAGGGAGCAAACAGAAGACCTGTTTTTTTCACTGTACACCTTTAAATGCTGTCTGAAATGTTTGCCTTTGGCAGGAATTATCCATTCAGAAAAAAAAAGTAAATGAAAACTGCCACAAGAATGAGAAACAAACAAAAATTATAACAGTATGAGCTCACAGACACACACACAAGCTGAACTAGTATCCACCTACATCTTTGCCAGTGTTCACAGCTGTCACTTGTTCCCCGCCAAGCTCCCTTGGGTTTGGAGGTTTCCCTGGCATGACAGTCTTCCTCTTTTACTGATAAGTATTTTAACTTGAAGGACAGTAGTTCATCATTTGTTCAAAACTAATGTCTTCCCAGGGCCAATCAAGACTCATCCTCCTATAAATAATTTTGCTTCTTTCCTTATTGTAGCTCCTCCTTAGAAGAATGTGCCAGAACAGCCAATCTTTCTTTACTTTTTTCTTCAATTATAATATAATTATACAGCCGGGCATGGTGGCACATGACTGTAATCCCAGTACTCGGGAGACTGAGGCAGGAGGATCACCATGAGTTTGAAGCCAGCCTGAACTGCATAGCGAGATCTGTCTCAAAAACAGTAAATATTATTATACAAATGTTCTTTCCTGTATTTTTTTTTTCAGTGCTAGAAATCAAACCCAGGGCCTGGCACATGCTAGGCAAGTGTTCTATCCTTAAGACACTGCCAAGACACTCTATTCTTTTTTTCTTTTTGGTATCAGGAGTTGAACTCAGGTCCTTGAGCTTGCGAGGCAGGCAGCAGAACCACTGAGCTAAATCCCTGGCCCTGGACACTATATACTTTTAAAAGAAGAAATTTGAGAGTCCATCAGGTCCCAAGGAGAGCTGCCTCCCCAGTTACAGTATTCGGAATTTGTAGAGCTGTGTAATGCAAAATGAGACTAGCTATTCCTGGGGATTCCCAAAAGCTGCCCAAGGTTTGCAGCTCAGAACAAGCATTACTAGGGGAATAGTGCCCCCTAGTGTCTCTCTGAAAAAGTCCTAGGGGTTTTGAATGAAATCCTGTATCAAAAGCAGGATGAAAGATTTTACAAGAAATTCAATTAAAATCAACAAATGTCCCTATTATGAGTGTTGTCATTATGTGTGCCTAAAATTTACCAATTAATGTTTTGCTTTAAAAAAATCAACAAATGTGAGTGATGATTATATGCCAGGCACTGTGGATGGGCCTTAAGAATTCAGAATGAATGAGTAGTTCCCCCAGCATTCCAGTCTACCTTTATGAAGTTCCAGATAAAAAATACACATCAGTTAATAGCTTCTAAACAAGTTCTTTGTTTCATATACAGAAACCAAAGCACCACCCGCAGCTACAGGAGACCAAAGACAGGATCTGGGGAAAGATGGTTACTTTCTGCAGATCTCTCTGCTGATAAACCTGATCTCCTGGCCTCCCACAAAAGACCCTGGCCTCTAAGTGCTACTGACTGAAACAAGCCCTGTCTGTCATTCTTACAAACTAATTCTCTATGCCCACTCTTCATTTCTAATACAAGCACTTGGGCACTAAAGCTATAAGTGAGTACAAGGTATGATCCTCCTAATCCCTGAGAGTGGGCTTTCAGACTAGACCAAGCCAGGGCTCGAATTCAGCTCATTCATTTATAAACTGGATGACTTTGGACAAGCTACCTTCAATCTCAGTCTCTTTTTCTGAAAAAATGAGGTTAATAATACATATCTTGCAAGAAAGTCATGAGGACTACAAGATGAGACAATGTTTGGAGCCAAGGGCACATACTCCACTCTGTAGCTACAGTGCTTTTTCTTCCTGTTTTTTTTTTTTTCCAATGTTTTTGATAATCACAAGCTGGATCATGTTAAACTCCTGCTTTAAGTTTTTCAACAAATCCCTATTGCCTTTGAGATAAAATCCAAATTCTCTTCAAGACCTGGCCACTGTTTACCTCATTTCTTACATCTTCCTATCTGTCCTGCAGTCATGAACTTCCTGAACTTGACCCACAGTTACACATCTCCATGCTTGTTGCCTACAATGATTCTTCTCTTTATTTTCTCCCAACTAGTTTCTATCATTGCCAAAACTCAGCTCAGAAATCCTCTCCTCAAGCCAAGAATGATGCTGCATATCTGTAATCCCAACACTTGGGAGGCTGAGGCAGGAGGATTACAGGTTTGAGGTCTGCCTGGGCTACACAGTGAAACCTTGCCTCAAAAAGAAAAAAGAAAGAAAGAAAGAAAGAAACTCTCTTCAAAGAGGTTTTCTCTGTTCCTCTAGCCATCCTGGTCCTGCCCCCATGAAAGAACTTACTATACTGTAACAGAATTTCCTATCTGTCGCCTTACTAGGTTATAAACTCCATAAAGAGACCATATTATTTCATTTAGGATGCCCAATAATTAGCATACAGGTGATGCTTCATAAAAGTTGAATAAATAAATTAATGAATAAAGTCATGTAACAAAGTGTGTAGGTCCAAACTCTGCTGCCCTTGCAAAGAAAGAATATACCAGTCAAGAACCCTTTTTGCCTCCTGTGTAGTCAAGGACAGCTTTCTGATTGGAGAAGAATTGTAAACAGGCTTCACAAAAATATAAGGGCATCAGGCCGGGGATTTAGCTCAGTGGTTTCGCCACCCGCTGCACAAGCACAAGGACCCAAGTTCAAGCCACGGTACCAAAAAAAA